ATCAAATCACATATCATGTCCACGGGAACAGCTTGAACCACAGAAATCATGGATCCACAGATTCGTGGCAAAACCATGAAGCCAAAACATGGTTCTGAAGCACGGATCCTCACGGATCCTCAAGGTTTTTGCAATGGGGCACCCCAAATACACCATCTAATCATATAACATGCCCATGCCAACTGCTAGAACTGCAAAAATCACGGATCCACAGCTTCGTGGCAACACCATTCTGCAAAAACGTGGTTCTGGAACACGGATCCTCATGGATCTTCAGGGTTTTTCAGTTAGGTCACCCCAATATCACCATCAAACCACATATCATGTTCATGGCCACTACCTCCACCAGAGAATTAATGAATCTACAGCTTCGTGGCAACACCATGCTGCAAAAACATGGTTCCAAAGCATGGATCCTCATGGATCATCCGGATTTTGCGTTGAGTCACCCCAACATCAGCATCAGATCACGTATCATGTCCATGGGCGGAGCCTGCACCACAGAAGTTGTGGATCCACAGCCTCATGGTGATACCATGGAGCAAAAACATGGTTCTGAGGCACGGATCCTCACAGATCCTCATGATGTTGTCCCAAACCGTTTTTTTTAATTTAATGTGGGGTAACCCCAAATTCACCATCTACTAACTCATCACATTAGTGGCCAGCTATCACCACAGAATTTATGCCTTGAGAACCTCAGCACTGCCATAGTACAAAATCAGGAACCTAAAGTGCAGATCTCATGATATTTATGATGGGTCCCTCCAGAACTCAATATCAAATCACATATCACAGCCAGGTCCACGGATTGCAGCACAAAACACACCATTTTGTGATACCAACATTATACAAAACCTTTCTGGGAACCCTCTGAACTTAGCCAGCTTTTCACGAGTTCTATGTTCCAAATGCAGAATGCGTTCTCGAGACCATGCTTCGGCTTCTTGTAAGTCTCTCATGTCCTCGTTTGTAGCTGTAGAGGCTTCCAGGGCCGCATCCGCAGTGAGCGCTACATTTTGTATGGAGGACTGTAATGCTTCTATTTGGTCTGTTATCGGTTTCAACGCTTGGCCGATGGATTGATGAATCTCATTTTTAATTTCAGCCTTAATTAGCTGGAAGCTATCCAGCAGGTCTTGCTTTGTGATCGGGGTATTAGTCTGTGCGCCGCTTTGTGCTCCGTCCGCCATTTTAGGTTTTCGGGCCCGTTTTTTCGATCACTTTTTACTCGTAATATAAGACTGCCCGTGTTTGCTTTACTACCTTTCTGCTGGGAGCTTTTAGGCGACTGTTGATTTGTTCCGGAGCAGGAAAAACGCTCGTTTTTTGTTGTTTCGGCGAGGTTTTAGGCGGCGGGGTCCGGGAGAGCGCCTAAGGAGCTTCCGTCGCTGGCACGTCCGAAGCCCCCCCCCCCCGTTCCCATGGACATGATATGTGATTTGATGTTGTTTGGGGTGACCAATTGCAAAACCCTCGAGGATCCATGTGGATCTGTATTCCAGAACCATGTTTTTTGCAGAATGGTGTTTCCACGAAGCTGTGGATACGTGATTTTGTGGTTCTAGCAGGTGGCATTGACATGTAATGTGATTAGATGGTGTTTTTGGGGTGCCCCATTGCAAAAACCTTGAGGATCCGTGCTTCAGAACCACACAAGAGCTGGGGGAGCCAGAAGTTGTGGAGAAGTGGAATTTGCCCCTATGAGTCCAAGGCCACCACCCCGGGGCTCAGGGAGGTGAGAACGTTCCCCCCCCCCGCCATGGCCATTGCAGCTTCCGCCGACAGCGCTGGTGGCCATAAATTTTTAAAGAGCCCCCAAGGAGAGCTGGAGGAGCCAGAATGACCTTTCGCGTGTGATTTCCAAGCGGTGTCACGGCAGGGCCTGGGGGCGTGATGTAAGCAAGCAAAGTCCAAGAGCAGTCCGAAGTCAAGCCGAGTAAGACAAGCAGCAAAGTTCAAACAGGTTTAAATCAGAATCCACAGCCAGGGTCAGACATACCAGAGTTCAATGTCCATAAATCCAAACGATGCCAGAGGAGTCAAAGACGTGAGCAGGGTCAACAAAGCCGAGGGTCAAAAGCTGAGGATCAAGACGACAAGAGTTCTGGAGCAGAGATACACGGAGCCAGGTCCTGATAAACGACGTTTGCCAGCACAAAGGCCTGCCAGCAACAGGCTTGAAGATATACAGTGCTGGCTAATTATCTCGTTAGCTGGCAGGGAGGAAGGTCATGGTTCAGTCAATACTCAGGGACGTGCGTCCCGGCGTCTATCTCTTAGCTCCTGTCTCCGTTGATTTCGGAGCCTGGTTACAGCTGGTGGAGAATCGGGCGAGGAGTCTCTGTGCTGCAGCAAAGCCTGATGCCTTGCAGGTGTCTCCTGTGAGGCTTTATCCTCCTCATCACTTAGGGAGCTTTCAGCCACAGGAGCCAGTCTTTGCCTATAAGTCTCTGCTGCAGTACTGTCCACAGGAGCCTGTGGTGTCAACTCCCCATGCTCCTGGCTGGCAGGTGCCTCATCAGGGTCATCAGCAAGGGCAGGCATGACAAGCGGCAACACAAGAGATGGAATTTGCCCCTATGAGTCCAAGGCCACCACCCCGGGGCTCAGGGAAGTGGAGAAACTTTGCCCCCCCCCCCGCCGCCATTGCAGCAGCGCCGGCGGCCATAACTTTTTAAAGAGCCCCCAAGGAGAGCTGGGGGAGCCAGAAGTTGCCGCTCGGACATCACACGCGAGTGGTGGAATTTGCCCGTACGAGTCCAAGGCCACCACCCAGGGGCTCAGGGAGGCGGAGGAACGTTTTCGCAATGGGGCACCCCAAACACACCATCTAATCATGTAACATGTCCATGCCAATTGCTGGAACTGCAAAAATCATGGATCCACAGCTTTGTGGCAACACCATTCTGAAAAAACATGGTTCTGGATCTCAGATCCTCATGGATCCTCGGGGTTTTTGCAATGAGTCGCCCCAAACACAAAATCCAATCACATATCATGTCCACGGGAACAGCTTGAACCACAGAAATAATGGATCCACAGCTTTGTGGCAACACCATGAAGCCAAAACATGGTTCTGGAGCATGGATTCTCATGGATCCTCAAGGGTTTTGCAATTGGTCACCCCAAACACAACATCAAATCACATATCATGTCCACAGGAACAGCTTGAACCACTGTGAATCCATGATTTCTGTGGTTCAAGCTGTTCCTGTGGACATGATATGTGATTTGATGTTGTGTTTGGGGTGACCAATTGCAAAACCCTTGAGGATCCATGAGAATCCATGCTCCAGAACCATGTTTTGGCTTCATGGTGTTGCCACAAAGCTGTGGATCCATTATTTCTGTGGTTCAAGCTGTTCCCGTGGACATGATATGTGATTGGATTTTGTGTTTGGGGCGACTCATTGCAAAAACCCCGAGGATCCATGAGGATCTGAGATCCAGAACCATGTTTTTTCAGAATGGTGTTGCCACAAAGCTGTGGATCCAT